ACATTAGAGGAGCAGTTGGCAGGTGGAGAGTTCTCAAGAACAGGTGGGAAATCAGTGAAAATAAGAATGAAAGAAATGTCTACATAAAGCAAGGAGCTCTAAGGCTCAAGGTTAGAACATCTGGCTCTCCACTGGCTCAGAGGTCTTGCTGGAGTTACTTCCTGCAGGAAATATGGAGTAAGCACATGTAATAGTAACAAGATACCAAAGGAGCCTTATATAACATTCTGCGCTACATCTTCCAAACAGTAATTTCCACCACATTTTTTTTTAATGCATACATTTGGAGAAGTGACAAACTTCAGATCCCACAAGGTGATCTCTCTACTCTGCTATGGACTTTAATTGCAAATAACCAACAAAAACCAACAAATAAGCAACTTCTATTTCCACTTCTATTAAATAGGACAATTCAGTTTAAAAAGGCCATCTTTCTGCCAGAAGACATGACCAGGCACAAGGAACACCCTCTTTCACCACAGTGTTTACCATGGACATTGGAATTCCATAAAAGTTAAACAAATCTCCTCAATTTCTTCCAATGTAAAATGGAATTCACAGGGGGGGTTGTTTTGTTTTGTTTTACAGCTTTGCTGGACACTTCTCAGATTTCCTGCTTCTAAAATGCCTCGAAGGGAAGTCCAGTCTAAAAACGAACCCACATCATTACTTCCTCAACAAAAGTCTGATTCCAAAGTGAATACAACAGTTTTGCAACCATTATCATGACATGTAACCCCCAAAAATTGTTTTAAATTCATCTCAACTCAAAAGATTGGTATAATAATTAATTGAAACTGGTTTACTTTAACTTTTAAATTAATGTGGCAGACCTTACTTAAGACAGCACATTTGACCTTACTACAGAGTTTATGTCAAAGCAAAGAATGAGCGTTCAAAATCTCATGTATGATCAAGTTCATCTGCTCTTTTAGCTTGTTAGTGAGAAGGTGGAATGATCAATTCAAGAAAACCAGAGAAAGAAAATGGGCGGGTTTTCAATTAGGCGCTTAGACTTTGGGTCAAATTCCTCCTCTACTGTTTCTTGCTCTTCTCGTACCACATTCTCAGTTCAAAGGAGGCTAGTCACTGCAGGTGTTGTGAACTCAGTGCTATGGGTATGGCAGGATGGAGAAATGAATGACTTCTTTAGTACTGAGGGACTCTAAGAGCTTACCTTCACCTCCCCAAAGCTTGCCAACTCCAACTCACCAAGAGTGAGGTTATTCAGAACAGAGAGGGGCACTACCCACCAGCATCCTTGCTGAAACAGGTATTTCCTCCCCCAACACAAACTATAGAAAGGAATGTTATTTTGAGCTCCTTTGAACTTAGGTGAGAGACAACAAGTAGTGCCATAGCTCTTTTCTGAAGTATATGCATGACATGAAAGTGAGATAGGTGTGGAGTGGACAAAGTACTTTCTTTATCGCTTGCAGACTGGTTTGTCAAAATCCAGACTGCAATTTCACATATTTTTCTCTTTTTTTTCTTTTTTTTTTTTTTTTTGAAGGAGAGGTGGGGCAGAGGGGGCCAAGCAGGAGGTGTTTTTCCAAACCTGTGAATGCAACATTCAGCAGCCAAGCTCAAAAGTTCCTGCTGCTCCTGCAAAAAAAGGACAAACAAGCCCTTTTCATGTCAGCTATGTCCAGCTGGAAATGTCACAGCTTTGTCACAATGGAACAAAGCATGCCTGGTGTCTGTTCTTTCAAAAGGTCTCTTAATTCAAACAAAAGAAAAATATTCACATCTGGAAGGGGTGGTAGGCAGGGGGCGGGAGTGGAGGAAGCAAAGTTCAGATGGCAAGTCATAGCAGTTGCTGTTTGTCTTGCTGTTGGTCTCATTATTGTACTGCCTATTCTGGCACTTATCAATCCAGTTAAAGAAAGAAAGCCAAGAGTTAAAACCACAATTTTATTATTGATTGAACTTGGAGGGCCAGATGAGACACACCTCTTCACTTTTGCTCCATTCATCATGCTGGAACACTCAGGCTGAGTGAAAAGACCCCTTGGGACCAGTCTGGCACTAGTTCGTCTTCCACCCCTCCCTGCTCTTTTTTTTAATTAAAAAAAATTATTGTTGTGTATGGAGTCCAAGCTTCCTTTAGAAGACCACAACCTTCACTTCCAAAGGATGTACATATTGAAATCCTTCCCTTTCCAATAGGTTTATTTGACCATCTGTTTCTGTAAAGATTAAAACCTTCTAATGACTGCAGAGTTGGGAGGCTGTATCAGAACTGAGCCACAGGATGATCAAAAATTAAATGTCTTGTGAGATCAGATTAAAGGAGGAGAGTGGGACTTCACTGGCTAGGCATGAAAGACCAACTGTAAGGGTTTGCACTACACTCCTAAATTAAAAGTTTTCTCCTTCTTCAAAATTCAGTGCTTCTGGAGATGAAAAGCCTCTCCTAGGCTGCCACCTAGCTAGTTAATTTCTGGTATTGTTTTAGGAGCTATTTTAAAAAGCTCTTTTGCTCCAGCTCTTACTGCATTGACTCCTCCCTTTTGAGCTGGTATTTTGTCAGGAGTTTCAAGAGCGATAAAAACTTGCTGCCAAGTCCCTTTCTTCCCCACAATGTGTTTTATAACCCAGCGTGTAGTTTAGTCTGTCTAAACACTGCACTAGTACACTGCCATCAGTTTCCATGGAGATGATTAACTCCTCCAGAGCCAGAAAGCTTTAGTGCGCTTTTTGCCCTTTCAGCACATGAAGAACATGACAGCATTTACTAAAATCAGCCCACAGAAACATCACGTTTTCCAGACGGTTCTAGCAAATGTAAGGATTTACTTTTGCTTCAACCCATCACACAAAGTCTTAACCAAACTTGCATTTAAGTAATCTGCTAGAATGAGTTGCTCTTTCCCCTTGTGCTTTGCATCCTTTGCATTGCTGTGATGTCTGAAGGCATGACAGCCCCAGACAACAACTTTTTGAATTACTATGTCTCAGAGCAAACCCAAGGCGTGAGAACGAAAAGTCCAGAAGAGAGAAAGAAGAGATGAAGCAGATGACTTTGAACTCAACCAGAAATCAGAGCAGAAAACAGAAAAAAGAAAAACTTTGTGCCCTGAAGTTTAGGAGCACTGTTATATGAAACTTTGTAGCTTACCATACCCCTAGTCACTTATGCATCTAGCAAAAACATACTGTCAGTGTGTATTCATAACAAAAATTTATTCAACACCACTTTAAGAAGTTGAATTAAAGTGAAAACTACTCTTAATCTAGTATAACATGACCTAATCAGAGCAAGAAAGTAGACCTTCTCCCAAAATGCAGCTAATGAAGGCCACATGCTGTCATCAGCTTTAGCTGTGGAAAAATGGTTTCCCAGTCTCACTTTCACAGCAAGTACGATCTCCCTGGCAGTTACCACCTAGGTGGCACACTTGATCCAAACTATGAAAATGGCAACAGAACTTTGAATACTGTAGTTTCCTGGAAGAATTCCCCAGTAGAAAACTATTTTATAAATATTTTCCAGGCTATCATCACTGAAGCAAACTGTAACCTTCCCAGCACTTTTAACATGTAATGTTTTTTTTGGCATTCAAGAGCAGATATACTATATAAACTAGACACGAATAACCAGGCATAACTGCAGTTTCTGTAGAAGAGTTAAAGGCAAGAGAGAGATTTATTTTTTTTTTTGCCAGTAAGCTTGGCTAACTAGAAAGAGCCACTGGCAGAGTTCATAGCAATGGGTGTTCTGCTGCAGTGACAATATTTTCTATTTGACTTCCAGAGCAGTTGCCAGAAGGATTTCTTTGCAGACTCTGCTTGGAGTCAGTACCGTGTGGGTACCAGCAGCGCAAAATGCCCCAACACCTTTTACACTGTGCTACTAAGACAACCCACAGAGATGCAAGTAGACTTCACTCATGCAGTCCACTCACGACTGCTTAAGTGACAGCCTGTATTTACTGTTATGTGGACATGTGTCCAGTATTAACTCAAAGGACACCACTAAATGATTTCATATACTTTGTCACAGGACACTTACCAAGCAGTAACCGTATTTGGTTAATCACCCTTGGCTACAAACAAACCAAAGGACTTGAGACCAGAGTCTCCGTTACCTCCTCCTCAGAGATTCCGGGTGTTCCCTTTGTCCCCTATCTAAAGCTAGTGTAGTGAAGACCCCTAGGGATGCTAAAGCCCGTAACAGAGAACATCAGCCAGGATCCAATAAAAGCGTTTCAACTTTCCAAAAAGCATGAACGTTTGCATACCTCCCGCAGCTGCAAAGATCACAACGTAGCATGCAGAAAGCCTGCACCTTGAATGCACTTGTTACCTGCTTCTCCAGCCCTTCCTGAAGTTACCGGCGCAGCACCACAAGCCTACGTGAGCCGCACCTTCCAACACCAACCCCCACGGGCAGTTTGCCGGCTGGAGAGAACCCGTCCTAATCCTGCCTCCTGTTATTTGTCACCAGGTTGTGGAGGAAATTTTGGCCGCCCACACCTCCAGTTGTGTTTTCGTCCTGCTGTAGGAAACAAGCCGCTCTTACAATTACCGATTTCTTTGAAGTATCTCTCGGAGCGGCTGCCGCCAGTGCGGGGGGACAGCACCTGCTGCCTCGCCCCCCGCCGCCCCTCAGGAGGGCTGGGCAAGGGTCTGCCGCCACACGCCTCCCCTCTCACTAAACCCAGGCGCGGGCAGCAGCTACGGAGCCATAACCTACCTTGAAAGGTCAGGTCACCCCTCACCGGTTTAACCCCCCCACACCTCTCTTTTCACTGGGTGACTTGCAGGACGAAGGCTCGCTCCTGGCGACAGCCCCGCTGCCGCCCGCTCCCTCCCCCGAGGGTCCCGCAGAACTTTCTAGACACACGGGCTTCGCAGCAGCGGGGCAGGTGCCACCTCCTGAGGCGAGGAGCCCCGGCTCCCCCTCACCTCAGGGAGCCCCCGCAGCCCCGGGCGGGGCCCGCCTCACCCCGGGGCGGCTGAGGGACGAGGAGGCGCCGCCCGCCCTCGGCACTTACCGATGTCGGAGTTGCAGAAAGCGTCCTGCGGGTGGATGGGGACGCAAGTGCAAGCCTCCACCACCAAGTCCCGCAGGCTCCAGCTGCAGAGGAACACGACGAGGAAGCTCAGCCACGCCGTCATGTTGCCCCCGAGGTGCCTCCTCACTTCTGCGGAGCAGGAGGGCAGCCGCCGTTCCGTTCGCCGGGCTTTTTATTCTCGCTTCCTAACAGCCGGCGCGCCGCCACTGCCTGCCTCCCTCCTCGCACTGCCCCTCTCTGTCTCTCTCGCTGGCCTCGGCAGCGCAGCCTTCGCCGGTGCAAGCCTGAGGGCACGGCAGGTCCGCGGCTGCCAGCGGCGGGGGGATGCCGAGCGGTGCGGAGCTGCGCTGCGCCGCGGCGGGCCGGTGCGCGGAGTTATAGCCTCGATCGCGCCCTCTCGGGCTCCGGGGGCGCCGCCTCCCCCGACCAATGGGAGCCCCGCATTACCTCATCGGCGGGAGAGGCCAGCGGGCCGGGGGCGGGGCCGCGGCTTCAGCGCCTTATACGGAATAGTGCGGGGAGCGTGGGGCGCGCGGGCGGGCGGTTGGGCAGGTAGCCGGCCGCTCTGAGGAGAAGTCCCCGTCCCTCAGCCTACGTCCCTTTCCCGCCGCCGGGGACGGGTTGAAACTCTTAAAAACTAGTTGTACCCCCGAGGTATCGGCGAGTTAGCCGTCCGGTGGCCGTCAGTGCCCGGACGGTTCTGGCCCCGAGGAGTTCCCCCCCCCCCCCCCGCCCCGGTCAGGACCTGCCTTCCCCTCAGCCGGCCCGCTCCGCACCTCAGGGCGCGAAGAGGCACCTGGAAAACAGACGCGGGGTTTGTTGTTCGCTTGGAAAGCTCGGGCTGTTTCCCTCGGAAGCGTCTCGGCTGTCTGCAAGCTGGTTTTAAACTGGAGGCGGTGAAATAGCGTTCTAAAGGGCTTTCAGAAAACGCAAGAGGAGTGCAGTGTGTTGCTGCTTTTTCAATAGGCAGTGGAAAGAGGACAGAGGAAAAGAAGGACAAGACCTAGCTGAACTGTAAACCAGGATTTCATCCTGCGTTTTTTTTAATCCTGCTCAAATGCTCCTTCTCCTGTCACACCACCACCCATCACTTCCCCTTCTCAGGGCTTTCGGTCAGAAAGGGGTCATAAACTGCAAAAACCGAGCCAGAAAAAGCAGTGTCGTATCTACCCCGGCACTCCCAACATTTAATCTCAAAGTATATTTTAGCAGAGCAGCTTTAGTGGATTTTATAGAAAAGTCCTGTTTGTTTTGTTTTTCCCTTATCCCCTTTTGGAACCATAAATTTCTATCGGCTGTAGAAATGTAAATGTTATAGAAGAGCTGGGACTGTAAGGAAGAAGATTGCCAGCTGCAAGATACAGACAGCCTTATTATCCTGCAAAGGGGACTGAGAGGTGATTAATCACAGTATCAAACCAGTGTATATAATGTCAGAGTACTTTCCACGGGGTTTACAAGACTTAAGCATGTCTAGTTATAAATTATGCTGGTATTAAAGGCCCAGGACCAGCTGTCCTAAATTTCTAAATAGTCAGCTAAGTCTTTAGATTTACAATTCTGCTCCATCTGGGTGAAGCACAGCCTGCCTACACCTTTTCTTTAATCACACCGTCCATATAAAATTAAAACCTCCAGTCTTACGGAAACACAGGCTTTTATTTGGAGCATCAGTACACAAAAGCTTCAAGATGGGTGTTGCTAGTAGAGATGAAGGTTACAGTGCTAACAGTGGGAAACGCAGGCTCTTACTCGTGCTGTGACACAGACAAGCTGTGTGACAGCTTTGCCTCACCGTGCTTCCAATCCCAATCTGTGTAATGGGGATAATAGTGATGGGAGCTTCGCAGGAATGTGTATTAGTGAACACACTAAAAAAAAAAATAGATGGTGTTGAGGTGCTAACGGGTCATATAAGTACATATGAGGCAGGTTATTAAACAGGACATTCAATTTAGACACGTAGCTGTCTGAATCGTTGGGCTCCAAATTGCAATATGAGAAACCCTATGCAAAAAACTCCTTAGGTACTTGGACTGTCTGCTCCAGGTACTACATCTGAAGTTGAATCCGTCAGATTGGACTGTCATTTCAGTCTGACTGGGTGTAAACAAGGAACAACTCCACCAACCTCAGCAGAGTAACACGGAAGAAAAATGAGGTGTGTCTGGCACTTTCATTTTTTCTTTGTTGTTGTAAAAAGTTTGATATCACCAACATCATGATACACCTGGACTATCAACAACTCAGATCAGTATCTCAGAGAAGTGGAGTTATTCCATAACCTGACACTGGTGTAAATGAGGGAGAGTTTGGCACACACACAGCTAGATTATAATCACAGCTCCAGCACCACCTCCCTTCACTCTCTGGCCAAGTAACTCCTCTGAGTATGTTTCTTCATTTCTATAATAACACGTTTCCTGCGTGTTCTGAGGACTAACAAGCTGAATGCTTTGTAATAAGCTTTAAAGATGTTGGGTGCTGTGTGAATGCTAAGAGTGACTATAATAAACAAACAGATGTAGGAGACATTCAGAGGAGACTGAAAAACAAACCCTTCAGCCATCTTTCAACTTCTGAAAAGGGAGAGGAAGGGGGCTAGAAGTTCCACAAGGCCCTCCAAAGCACAGAAGTAGCTCATTTACCAGGAGACTGACCAAGCTTGTTAAAGTAACACCAAATTTGTGCCGATTACAGGAACTAGTTCACTTTTCAGATGTAACCCAGAGAAGTAATCTGCCATTACTTTTCAGGATGAAAAGGAGAGCCACAGCTTGATCCAGTAGCAGGACACATCTGTTTGGAAGGGATGGTGTGCAAGCTGTGTGTGTGGCAAGGCTTACCACTGTCTTCTATACTGCTGTTTGAGAGGTGATCCAGAAATTTTTTAATGCATGTATTAACATTGCCTGAAGTGGTGGTACCTGTGTTCGGTCAGTTAGGGCTTAGGTGATTCAGCTGCGTTTTTGACGCTTACATATTCTTTTTCAAAGAGATTAACTTCTCTATAGTAGTAGAGATGCAGGTTTTTCAGCCAGAACTGGATACTGTATAATAATAACTATTTATTTGCCACTTAAAGGATACATTTCATATACAGAAACCAGAGTGCTTTATTTTTGTAAATCAGAGGTCAATAATACTCAGGAAAGCTCAGTCTGGCCAGTGGCCTGTTGGGAGGCCTTGGTAAATCATTTAACCTGCCTGTACATTCACTTTATCATCTGTAAATAGAGATATTGTATATTATCCTCTAATAATATCTATTAGATATTGAATATTAGCCTCTCTCCTTTGAGACCTACCAGTAAAGTACATTCTGGAAGAGCCAGGCAGGGGTTCTGACTTTATTTATATGAGAAAATTTTGATAATGGTGTCGAAGTAACACAGAACATCAATGAAGGAACTGAAAGGAGAACTCTATCTGAATTCCTGCTCTATGCCCTGTCTGCGTGGGAGAAACTGCAAAGGGAAAAAATAAAATAAAAACTAGCATTCATCTCTCCTTTGCCTAAATAAAACTTTAAGCCTTATATGGCCATAAAAAATGTAGCAGAGAAAGGAGGAGAAAATAAAGACATTGATCTTCACATGAGAAAATTAGAGTTCACATTTGGTTAATGTCACCAAATAAAGAAATCTGTGTTATTCCAGTCCTCCACCAAGAACGCACTGTTGAACACAATTAAGGATCTCTCTGCTTTACCGGGCAGCCACACCACTTCATGCTGTGATCTTGTCAGATCCCACAGGCTAAGCATGACTGGGCTGTGTCAATAGCTGGTGTGAAAATTCCCAGGGAAAGCCATGTCCTGCAGGTGTTCTTGACTGAGCAAAGCGGCCTTCTTCCCTCCATCCTGCACGAATGTGCAGAGACGGTGCTAGGGGGCACTGTGCTGCAAGAGATGGCTGCATTTTTTGCGGATGAAGCTATGTTCCTTGCCATCTCTGAAGAACCGACACTGGAAAAGGAAAGGTGTTAAGCTGGGTGTCTTAATTAAATTTCAGGAGAGAGAACTGCCTTCTGCTTCCATAGATACTCACGGCAGTTTACATCAGGAGCATATTAACAATATCATTTTCCTTCCACAAGTCCTGCTTGTGGCTGGAAAGGACCATCCCAGAGCTAGCTGCAGAGGCTGAGTTAAAAGCACTTTGGGATATTCCTTCAAGAGGCATGAGGTGTTGCTGTAAATGAACTAAAGGCATATTCACTTTCCTTCTGATCACATTTCATTGTGAGGGATGCCGGCTGCTTCAGAACTGACAAAAGCATCTGAATGTAAGTAGTACAGAAGGGCTTCATCAAACTACAGGAACTGCTGGCCAAAAAAACAGAGAAAGAAAGGCAGGAAGGGAGGGAGGAAGGGAGGATAAAAGAAATAAAGAGAGAAAGAGAGAGAGAAATACCCCCCACTACCACCACCACCAGAGGAAAAAAAAACTGATACATGTAGTGGCTGAAAACACTCCAGCTCATCACCAGACCTCAGCTGGCTTAAAGTGAGCATGGCATGAATGAAGTCAGGAGACTTCAGCCTGCAGTCGAAACAGTCCTGCCACCTCCTTAACAATATATTGATTTTGAAAGCTTCTGAAGTATGGGCATTTTTCCATTTTAACTTTTCCACAGTAACTTGACTTGATTCATGAGCATGGAGTCCTGCCATTAGCATTCTAAATTGTCAAGCTGCCAAGTTGCTCAAAAGCCTCCTCTCATACTAAAAATTTTCTTGAAGTTGACAATCCTCATACCTTTTAGACCAGCTCAGCATCACACCCTCTAGGAGATATCATTGTTATTCTGCTTTTATACAGCAAGTGGGAAAGGATAGGTGTTTTCAGAACCATGTGATGTCCTTTTTTACAGCACACTCACACCATCTCATAGGGCAGTAGAGAGTGGCCATGCATTGCATTAAAAAAAGATTCTCATATTTCCTGATTATCTGTTTCTTTTTCAGAATATCTGTTTTTTTCTGACACTGTCCTTTGAGAAGGCTGTTTTGTTTAAAATGTTTGTATTTGCTACAATTTGTAAGCGTGAAAAAGGTTGAAAAAAGTCCTCCTCTATTAATTCTGCCGTTTTATCAGTGAACTTCATATGCTGCTTAAAATTAGAAGGTTCTTTCTTCAAAAATGTCTTTGATTCTATAAATACGTATGAAAAAAATTAATTTGATCTCTTTCTCTGAGGTTGCAAAGGAATTATGTCACCTTCCTGTCTGCAAGCCAGACATAGGTAACACTCTATCCCATTCCCAAGCTTTTAATTAGAGGTACACCATTAAACCTTCATCACCTCTAACGGTTCTATACTGTG